GTGGGAGAGAGGAGGCCTCTATATCTTCTAGTAGCGTGGAATGGCAGACGGTGTCAAACGCCTTTGACAAGTCCAACGCTACTAGAATCGTTTTCTCACAGGGACGGTTTCGATTAAGGCCACGAGTTATCTGAGTGTTTATGGCGTTAAGTGCTGTTGTTGTACTGTGCACTTTACGGAAACCATGCTGATGCTTCGCTGGGGTCAAGTGGTTTGTGAAATACGGGAGTAGCAAGGCCTTGAGTGTCTTCGCTACCGGGGAATGGAGTGTTTTCGGACGATAAGAATCTCCGTTGTTGGCAGGTTTCCCCGGTTTGAGCAGTGGGACCACTCTCCCCACCTTCCAGATGTCTGGGATGATGAGAGTGGCCATGGACAAACTGAGGACCTCCGTTAGGTACGCTACCCCCGCAGGACCCAAATTTTTGAGCATCAGCATGCATATTCCGTCGGGACCCATGGCTTTGAAGGCTTTCGCCTTCCCGATGGCCACCTGAACTTCACCGCAAATGAAAGCAAGGGGAGCACAACAACAACAACAACAAACATTAACATAACGTCGCCTGGGTAAAAGATTGTCGTAAGCGCAATTTTGACGATTTTTAGTTCTAGATGCAGTTATATATTTTTAAATAAGGTCTTTCGATTGGTGTTATCAGTTTTTAGATATGTCCTTTAGTTTCAGAGGTATTGACTAAATTTTTTTCGATAAAACATTAAAAATTTCGCTAGTAATGCAGTCATATTAAACTAATCAATATCTTAAAAATAGCGTTCTTCATTTTTTGATATCTCCTTTAGTTTCCAAGATATTGAGTAAAAAGTGTCATTAATTTAGTAGAAATTTTGATCACATTTTGTCGTATTTCATACAAAGTGGCTGCCAAATTGTGGACAAATGACGCTTACGACAAAATTGTACCAAATAAAATCCTTCATAAACTCAAAACTAACTAAAAATAAACATTAAAAATTTAATAATTTAAGAATTTTGTGAACTAGTAACATTTTCAGAGACTTTGGAAAAAATCTATCTTCGCGTTTTTGAGAAATTACATTCCAAACTTCAATCGCGATTTCCCACAACCTGCCGAAATTAATATACGACAATCTTTTACCCAGGCGACGATAAGCAAATAAATGAAAAATGTAGAAAGTAAAAATGAATCTATACTTCATTGGCTGACCTCTTTCTCTAAATATATTGCGGGTACGAGTTTGAGCTGTTGGCGATGGATTTTGAGACCACTGTGTTCCATCGGGCGCATCTTTCGACAAAATCATATGAAGCCTCTATTTCTTCATCACTATCTTGCTCATCCACTTCGTCCATCACATCATCTATCTCCTCATCTGATGCAATTTCGCCACCTGGTAGCCATTCATCATCTTCTACATCGTTGTCATCGCCAAATTCCACATCATCGAGCAACGTCTCAATCTCTGCGTCCGTTAGCGCTCTATATATACGGTGACCACAAATATATTTTGAAAATGCATCACAATTATTAAAAAAATTTACCTACATATAATTAATAATAATATAATAGATTGGCGCTTACACACATGTTAGTGTTTGGCCGTGCTTCTCCTCCGACTTGTGGCGTGCACCTTGATATTGTCACACAAAGCGGAGGGACCTACAGTTTTACGCCGACTCCGAACGTCGATTGTATTTTTATGAGAAGCTGTTTTTCATGGCAGAAATACAATCGGAGGTTTGCCATTGCCTGCCGAAGGACGACCGCTGTTAAGAAAAGACCTTTTTTCTATATTTTTTTTGCGATGTTGCTTTGACCAGGGTTTGAACTCAGGTGCTGCGGAGTGGAAGCGCGCACTGCTTACCACTACACCACAGCGGCCTACCATATATGTAATACTCCTATATTGGCAGTAAGAGCTAGTACTGTCCGAAAACACTACAGTACAGTTATATCAATAAACACGTACGAAAGAAAGGGAACACATACGTTTATAAATAAACATGTACAACACATATATAAAAACGGCACTCAAGTACACAATACATTGACAAAAATGGTACTAGACTGTCTCGCTTTGATTTCGGAATGCGGCCTACATATAATTGCGTAGTATAAAAATAACAAAAACCTACTACATATATACATTCCCCGTCATTTGAATAGCGCACCCTTTTTTTATTTTCTTCCATACAAAGTATGCTTGACAAAATTTTTACATGGAAGAAAATGCGCAGCACCGTCAACAAAAAAAAATTGCTGCCCCTATGTTTATTTATTTTTTTTTAATTTTCAAACAAATTTCAAATCGGATTTAGACGTAGAATATGCTATATTTTTACAAAAAATTAATGCATATTAAACAAACAAAAGGAAAACTGTAACTAGTAAGTATTAAAACGGTGGCTCTTCAAATAACTAGGAGTGTACTTTCTTAATTATTAATCCAATTTTAAACTTTAAACATAAATCACATTTGCTTCATTGGTATTAATCTTTTTGTAATGAATATTTACAAAATTATAAGAAGGCATATTACATANCTTATTTGTGCAGGTCTCTAGTATGTATTTAGGAGCTTTTCGGCTAATTTTCATCAAAATCGGCAAAGTAATATATTTTTGTAAGAGGACTGTCGGTCACTTATGTTGATTAATTTTAAAATATCGAAGAAAATGCGGGACAAAGAAAGCACACTTGGAAAAAATCAGTACATTTTGGGGGTTTACTGTTTTGAAAAACTACACAGGACAGACCTTTAAATAACAGTACGGTCCTCCAAAAAACAGAACGGATGATCACCGTAGGGATAGTAGAATTACCTATGTATGTACGCTTTAACGATGCATGCATGTGAATTATGCGTGGCTTTTATTGTATCTCTGTTACTACGTTTATACGGACAGAATAATCGACTTAATTGAAAGCGCANCACCGTAGGGATAGTAGAATTACCTATGTATGTACGCTTTAACGATGCATGCATGTGAATTATGCGTGGCTTTTATTGTATCTCTGTATTTCACTAACTCCCTGTGTGAGGAAACCAAATAATGTAATTCTTAACAGAAGTGCCTAAAATTTAACAGTTTGGCAATTTTAAACACTGTTGAAGCTAATTTCCGGTATTTCTCTTACTAGCGCCTGAAACTATACTTATTATTTACTTCCGCCGGCAGCTTTAGCAAATTTGTAGCGTTTTTACGTTCATTGGCAAATTACGCTCTGTTAGCCATAAATTTTACTATGTTTTGACCGCCTTTGTATCAAGACCCCTGGACCATCTAGGGAATTTATTTATATTTTAAATTGCACTGTCATCGTGATTGGCACCTTGCTGAAAATTTCAAGTCTCTACCTTGCTGGAAGTTAGTTTAAAATCGATTGGAAATTTCCGCGGAATGACCAAGTTAAATAAAAGCTTGTAAAAAAGGTTTTATATTAACAGCGGTCGCCCCTCGGCGGGCAATGGCAAAGATCCGAGTGTATTTCTACCATGAAAAGCAGCTTCTCATAAAAATACAATCGCCGTTCGGAGTCGGTGTAAATTATTTCCCATTTAAAAGTGAAATAAAGCATTCAGAACGTTTTACAGTTTGAGAAAGTGCTTTACTAACTGCCCAACGGGGCCAGAAGCGCTCCATTAGTTCTATTGGAGCGCTCTATATTCAGCAGTAAGCGCTCCCTTCCTAATTTCATACTTCATTGTATTTTAACATTGTGTGTCATTAGAAAGAAGCGCTCCCTTGCTTCTCCCAAAGAAGCCCTTGGTGAGCGCTTCAACTAAAACATTTAAAAAGTGTTTTTGTAAACCATTTGATGGTTTTATTAAGTGTACTTATTAACATGTTTTTTTTCTTTTCTATGCGGTATACATACATACATACATGTTTTAGTTAAATTAACTTTTTTTCAAAAGAAAATATTTTATGTTACTACTCAAAATGATATTTCTTTCTGAGCATTGTTAGAAATTTAAAAATTTATTTCTTACTTTGCTTTTGTACTGCTCCGTACTTGCTCCTTTGGGGAGCAGCTAACTTTNCTTGCTGAAAATTTCAAGTCTCTACCTTGCTGGAAGTTAGTTTAAAATCGATTGGAAATTTCCGCGGAATGACCAAGTTAAATAAAAGCTTGTAAAAAAGGTTTTATATTAACAGCGGTCGCCCCTCGGCGGGCAATGGCAAAGATCCGAGTGTATTTCTACCATGAAAAGCAGCTTCTCATAAAAATACAATCGCCGTTCGGAGTCGGTGTAAATTATTTCCCATTTAAAAGTGAAATAAAGCATTCAGAACGTTTTACAGTTTGAGAAAGTGCTTTACTAACTGCCCAACGGGGCCAGAAGCGCTCCATTAGTTCTATTGGAGCGCTCTATATTCAGCAGTAAGCGCTCCCTTCCTAATTTCATACTTCATTGTATTTTAACATTGTGTGTCATTAGAAAGAAGCGCTCCCTTGCTTCTCCCAAAGAAGCCCTTGGTGAGCGCTTCAACTAAAACATTTAAAAAGTGTTTTTGTAAACCATTTGATGGTTTTATTAAGTGTACTTATTAACATGTTTTTTTTCTTTTTCTATGCGGTATACATACATACATACATGTTTTAGTTAAATTAACTTTTTTCAAAAGAAAATATTTTATGTTACTACTCAAAATGATATTTCTTTCTGAGCATTGTTAGAAATTTAAAAATTTATTTCTTACTTTGCTTTTGTACTGCTCCGTACTTGCTCCTTTGGGGAGCAGCTAACTTTCAGTCCCGTTGGGTGGTTTGAACAAACATACATATGCAAAAGTGTATAAATGCTGCTAAAGAATATTTGAAAACAATTTTTTTTTCTTAGCTAGGCTAAATACTTACCTAGCTCCCCAAAATTTAAGTCAATACAAAACTGTTTTTATATAATTTTATTTAAAAACCATACCACATTTTATTACATAATGATAAGAATGTTTTTAATACACATAGCATTATTGTTTGTATAATATTTACTCTTAATATAATGTATGCATGCTTATTAGTAATTTGTTCGATAATTGTAATCATGAAACTTAAATTCTTAGTGAAAACTTTAATTTTTAATTTTTAATTACGAATATACAATTACCTAAGAAACTTTTTTAAAAACTCTTTGGCAATTTTTTATAATAAAAATCTTCACATACTACTTATTCTTAATTCGTTTTTTAGCTCATTGTTTTACATTATTTTTGAGTTTTTGTTAAACTTTATTTTGTGTTAAATATAGTTTAGTTTTTCCACTAGTAGTTAGTATTTGAGGAGAAAAAAGTGTATGTATATGTATGTATATATGTATGAATGTTAATATATTAAGGGTAATGCTTTAACATAAAATAACAACATTACTTTTTGTAGAACAAAGTATATTTTAAAATTGGCTTATTATTCGAAATTTAAATAAAATTATTATTTCATATTGTACGCTCAATAATATTGTCTGCGATACAAAGAATGCGCTTTAAATGTGACAGTGAACTTAAATACAACGGATATTCTTATATAACTTTAACAACTGTAAATACTTATGGCTTTAAAAAAAATTATGATTTTACTTTTTTTCAGTAGCCACCTTTTATAGGCAGTATTTCTTGGCCAGAGCGTTGCCAAAATATGTACACATGTACACATGTATGTATACACATACGTTGTCTTGCTCTTTTATTATCTTGAAACAAAAGATCAAAACCTTAATACTTATTTATTATATACGAATTTCATATATTTAATACGTCTATGCACAAAATGAGCTGATTTAATTAAATAATTGACGGGCGTTTTAAATACTTTTGAATTCCAATAACTAGCTACTTAAGTATAATATGCAGTGATAAATGATATACGGTGGTGGAAAAATAATTAGGGACACGACATTTTAACAAAATTTCTTTTGTTTATTTAATATTTATTATTTTTTTATAAAAGTATAGCTCATGATCTATCAAAAACCATATAAACTCATATTTCAAACCTTGTGCAAAAACTATGATAATTCTGCAAAAATTTGATCTAAATTGTCAACATTTTAATCAGATTTTTTAGAATTTTTGAGTATGTAGTTTTATAGTCAATTGAATTTTAGTANAGGACACGACATTTTAACAAATTTTTCTTTTGTTTATTTAATATTTATTATTTTTTTATAAAAGTATAGCTCATGATCTATCAAAAACCATATAAACTCATATTTCAAACCTTGTGCCAAAATTATGAAAATTCTGCAAAATTTGATCTAAATTGTCAACATTTTAATCAGGTTTTTTAGAATTTTTGAGTATGTAGTTTTATAGTCAATTGAATTTTAGTAGAACAAAGTGTAAGTTTTAAGTTGCTAAAAAATCGCGTTGATTTTAGAAATTTTTTTAACGCATTTTCTTCCATACAAAGTACGTTCGGCATTTTTTTGTATGGAAAAAAGTGCGTAATATATTCAAAATAAAAATTATCAAAAATCAACGCGATTTTTTAGGAACTTCAAGCTTCACCTTATTCTAATAAAAATTTTATGGGCTATAAAACTGCATACTCAAAAAAAATCTGAAAAATGTCATTCAAAAGTTGAAATGAGCTATGCTTTTATCAAAAAAATAAGAAATATTAAATAAACAAAAGAAAAATTAGAAAAATGTGAAAAATGTCGTGTCCCCTTTTTTATTGTTCACCACTGCATGTACTTATATAAAAGTAATAGAAAAATGGATTAGGATAAAAATTCCACAACAATGGCAAATTATGTAAAAGACTCTAACAGCCGCACATATAGTCGGTTTAATGATGACTTAGGGCATCCCGCAGTAAAGATTTGAAGAAACTCCCACTCTGAGTCAGTTAATGATTCATGAACGGAATTTAATGAACATTATAGTTAAGTAAAAAAAATTTACGTTACGTTTTAATTTATTTATTTGGCAATGGTTTTTATCAAATTTAGTTCAACATCAATTTTTTTGCATTTGTGGTTGGAATTAGTGATGGGCAAAACACGTGATTTTTTACGAGACACGTCGCGTCATGTTCATGTGTGCACGTGAGCGAGTTCGAAAGAAAATCACCTGACTTCCGTGATCGTGCGTAAATGAAATTACTGGCGTGAACGTGCGTGAGTTTGATTTTCCCGACAATTACGTAATTTTCAAATTCATATGTGTATTTTAACCAATGTGGAATTAATGAAAAAAATCAGAAAACCAATACTTATGTGAAAAAAGCTTATTTATATGCAATGCAATTTATAAACATAAAGTTTCAATTTGAAAAAAAAAANAATCACCTGACTTCCGTGATCGTGCGTAAATGAAATTACTGGCGTGAACGTGCGTGAGTTTGATTTTCCCGACAATTACGTAATTTTCAAATTCATATGTGTATTTTAACCAATGTGGAATTAATGAAAAAAATCAGAAAACCAATACTTATGTGAAAAAAGCTTATTTATATGCAATGCAATTTATAAACATAAAGTTTCATTTTGAAAAAAAAAATTACGCGTAAAAGCGTGCGTTAAAAAAGGAGGCTTCGTGAGCGTGCGCAAACTTGAGCGAAAACTACTCACGTGCCCAACTCTAGTTGGAATACTTGCCGGGCATATATGTAATATATGCATATATATAATGATAGAACGAGAAAACCAACCAGCCAATGTACCCAGAATGACGTTTGAAAACAATAAAAAATCAGGAGCGGTGCAGTAACCGTCAATATTTTACAAAATTAAATTTTAATTTTAAAAGAAAAAAAAAGAAAAAATTTTGCGGAAATGTGCTGTTTGTAGAAGCAAAAAAGTAAGGAATATGAAATCGTATTACATGTGTCGGTATATTGTACTATTTACATAAAAATGAGCCGTATCAGGGAAAACAGGCAGACGCTACATGCCGGCTAAGGCGCTGGAAAGGAAGGCACGCATCCTCAAAGTATATCTTTTAAGAGTGGTTACGATGATCGCCTCAAATGTAACTTATACATCTCTTGCTTTCATTCAAATCCGCTGGTTACCACAAAGCTTGTACCAATCACTTTCAGGGAAAAATGTTGGGTTATTTTTTTTCTTTATTTATTTAAACCGCTCCTGGGGTTACTGGGTAGTAGTTTGTTTTTTGTTCACAAATATACATTTATACCATGATACAAAAAGGAAGGTAGTTCCATTGTCACTTTTTCGTCACCATATTAACAACCTGAAAATTAAGTAGACTGTGATATTTCGTGCCACCGTATCCTATATCTAAAATCCTCCAAATTTTGTTATTAATTTTTTGTTTATTTACCAACATTTTTTCTTAGAATCGAAATTTGAACAAGCAAACGGTATTTGTTGGGTACGGCTCGGTTATCTGTTCAAAATTTTGGGTTATTGTGTCCAAACCCTGAACTCAGAGCAAACAATTTTAATACACAGGTGTGGCCAAACAATTAAACGTTAGTTTAAAATAAAGATTTCAAATTTTCAGATACAAGTTTACGAAAAAAATCGGTTTGTAATATGGACCTTTTTGTAAAAAATACTGTGGGCAGCGTAACCGGAGTTGGACTGATGAGGGTTATTTTTTCTAAGCGCTGCCGAAAGCCTACAACGTGGAAAGGTATTTTGCGCAGAAATCCGGTGGTTGACGTAACCCGAGTTTACTTTTTCTCTGACAAAATGCTAATTTTACCCCATTTTCCAATGGTTCCCCCTCCGTCTTCGCTCCCAACCCAAAACCATTGCACAAATAACCGAAAATTTCCCCTTTTGTTTTTGAAAGAGAAGAGGTCTAATACACAATAATTTGATAATTGTGTTTCAAGTTTTCATACTAACAATAAAACATCAATTTTGTTTCACACCTCCTCCAATATTGAACAGTAAAATATATTTATTTTTACCCAAATAAACAACGATATCGTAGAAATATACTAAAATTGGATAATACTAACTTTTCTGAATGTCATGAGCCCTATGGGTTCCAAAGTAAATTCCGTTTTTAAGTTACTTCACTGTTCACTACAATTATATTAATGTAAAAATTAGGATTTTGGCAAGTATTTATAGAACTTAATGTAAACTTTTAACGTTTTTAGATAAGATATTAATCATTTTTAAAAGGTAAATGCTAATACAACTATTTTATTTATACTCCCAAATTAAGGATATAAAATTCCCTCCACCAAAAACCTGAAATTGGGTAACGCCGCTTCGATTTTTTTTTTTACAATTAAGCAATTGACAAAAATCTCCTTTTTAATCAAAAAGTTGTTTATTGAAACTACCTTCTTTTTTGTATCATGCATTTATACTAACAAACAAACATTTTTTTGATAGGCTTGCGATCACCAAATAACAAAGTGATATTTATAGAGATAGTTGCGAGGTAGTGCTGCTGTTATTAACACCTTATTACCACGGGGTTAACGGAAAGGACTTTTATTTTGGAATAATATTCGCAACAACCCTGGTATGTACATAAGTATGTACGCATGCACATACCTGCTATTAAAACTGAAATTCATACGTACATATCGTCTATGAATGAGTGTAATAAGTAATTGCTTACGCAAGGACGTGAATTTGCATTTAAATGTGTACATATCGCACACCAGATCTAAAGTGCGATCAACTCAACAAAAAAATTTGGGCGATTTCTTTGCATAAATCAATGCAATTAACGGAAATTTTTTTTTCTTCATGATTATAACAATTAATTTAATTTTTCCATCTCTTTTATCCTTCTCTTTTTCTTTCCCTAATATAAATAGTTAATAAGCAGTGAATTGTAACTATTAAGATTAAACTTTATTTAGTGTAATTTATATCTGTGTCCATATGGAATAGTTGCCGAAAGGTTAGCTTTGGTATAAAAGCTCTGTTAACTTAACTTAATATTTTGGCCAACCTGTTATATGAGAAACTGTGTTGGCGGTTAGTTAAAACTTAACTTACCGTAAGAAACTTAAGAACCTGTAGATTTTAGGTTCTTACGCTACGGCCTTACGCAATTGAGAGCGGTGAGAGAATCAGGCTTGCCAGCAAACATTTTTATTTGCATGATTTTTTTTTTTGATGTGGCATTTTATGCGGCGAACTGTTAAACAGCTGAAAAAGAAAATACAAAAACAAAATATTTCCGCTCTTGGCTTAAGTTGACGTGTTGAGTAATCATTGACGATTTCTTACGGTAAGTTAAATTAAGTTAAGTCTACACCATTTCCAGTTGGATTTTGGAAGGCGTCAATTGGATTTTAGAATAGTCAACTGGATTTTAGAAACGATCGATTGGATTTTAGAATAGTCAACTGGATTTTAGAAAGAGTCAATT